GCAGGTTGTGTTGATTACCTGCGATCAGAAGGGGCTGCATCATCCCCAGCAGCATACAGCAGAGCAGCTGATCCAGCAGCGAGACACTGTCGAACTCTCTGGGAGGTGTACATCATCCTCTGTCTTCTAGCAGAGAAACCCTGGGGAGAAAGAGAAGGCGTCTGGGCCTTCGCAACAGTGGCCACTTCACCACGTCTTGAAAAAGTTGTGTGTGAAGTTTGTCTGTAGGCAGGGCCTTGCTCATTCCTCTGTGCAACTAGCCCCATTGGAAAGGAGGAACGGTGTTTCTGCTCTTTCCTTTGCACCCTAATACTTTGAAGCAGCCTCTGCCCGATGCTGAAGTTCCCTGTTTGTTAAGAGTCTGGAACTGTTGCTGTACTTAAGCACTCCTCTCATTTTTCCCTAGATCATAGGCCAGGTTTATGCTGACCCGGACTGCCTCCCACGCACACTGGATTTTGGCCTTAATGTCAAGCTGTTCTGGGAGAAGTTTGTTCCTGCCGACTGTCCTCCAGCCTTTTTCCCTCTGGCTGCCATTTGCTGCAGACTGGAACCAGAGAGCAGGTAGGTTTGGGGTCTGGAGGACTCCTCTTCGTAAGCCTGAGGATGTGTCTGTATCCCCTTGGTGGAAGGATTGCTCTGCACAGAGGGTGGAAGAGGGCTGTATTCCAGCCTTTTGTGGGAATGCTCAAAGGCTTCCACATGAGGAGAGACTAAAGACTCATCAGCTTGGGAGAGAGGCTGCTGGATATGGTCGAGGTGTCTGAAACAATTTCTGAGACAGAGAGGGTAAAGGAGGAGTGATTGGTCAGGGTTTCTCACATACAAAAAGTAGGGGCAGACCTTGGCAGCAACTCTGAAATGTGAATACTTCATTCAATTTCAGTTGTTGAACTTACAGCTTCAGAACAGCGTTGATGCCAAGTAGGTTCCAAGAGAGCCGGACCTCCCTGGTCATCGGCCGTAAAAACGGGTAGCCCAGACAGATGGGATCTTTGCCATCTCGGAAGCTGAATGGGGAGGGATCGCATCCCTGCTCACACCTCTGCGCGCAGGACGGTAGCCTGGATTGACAACTGGCTCAGCCTTTCCAGATGCTGTTCTGCTTCTTCTTTCCCACTCACGTTTCCTCACTGCTGCTTCTAGGCCCCCTTTTTCCAAGCTGGAAGATTCCTTTGAAGCTCTCTCTCTCTACCTGGGAGAACTTGCCATCCCCCTCCCATCTGAGCTGGAGGAGCTAGACCACAACGTGAGCGTGCAGTATGGACTGAACCGTGACAAGCTACCTGAAAACACAACCTAGTCAGCTCGTCCTGCTGCCTGCACCACTTCCATTGGAGTTGAGATGAGTGACAGGGAGGGAGATGCACTTCAGCCACTTCCAGGGCATTAATGGGGCACCACGCTGTGCGTTTGCTGCATTGCCTCTCTCTCCCCACCCAACACCCCTCCTCTTGGACGTCCTGATTCACTGTGGATTTCTGGCATGTTTCAGAAGCAAAAAGGGCTGTTTCCTGCCAACTGCACCTAGGAAAGCTGCTCAACACTATTTTTCTGGCTTGAGAAATGTTTCTCTGGCCTTTTCAGGCTTCTTTACTGTGGTGCCTTAGAACTTGGCTGCAAGCTGTGAAGCCACCCTGGCCTGTCAGCCAGGGAGGGAATTGCTATAGGAGACTCTCCTGGGCAAGGACCAGCACTTCTGGAACTGCTTCTCCCACTGACTGCCCTGCTCAGAAAGCCGGGGACATTGGACATCCGGCAAAAGGCCCACCAGGACAGCGTGTATGTTTGTGCATGCGTTTTCCAGAACAACCCACTGAGATTTTGGCCTCCAGTGTGCATCAGGAGAGGGAGTGAAAAGCCCCAGGAGCTGGGCAGCTCTCCTGAAATACCTTGTCTGTGGGAAAGCGCCTATGAATTTTTGTTTTGGTTTGGTTTTGTGGGTTTTTTCCTTCTCTGTCTCTGAATACCTCCAAAAGCCTGCCTAGAAACACTAAGACTGAGCTCTGCTTGCCCCTCCTGATGGTGAACAAGGCGGGCAGCAAATGAGCTGCTCAAGCGTTTTCAGCCCCTGAGCCTGCACAGTGAGTTTGCCTGCCCAAGAACCTTAACCTAGGTGAAAGTATTTGAATCTGAACGTGTAGAACTGCACTAGGCACGGCTGTGGACATCCCTGGAGTGCTGAAGGTGCTTGAGCTCTCGGCCTGTGGATGTGAGGTGACAGAAAGGGTGGCAGAAGGTGCTCTTCAGAAAGCCCAAGGTCTGAAGTGGCTCAGACTTTGTGCATGGACAATGGCAAAGGGGGACAAGCCCAAGGTTACTTAAAGGATGGACTTGTGAACAGAAAAGTGCTGGAGAATGTCCCATCCTCCCAGGAGTGGCAGCTGGACAGCTAACAATTTGGTTGCCATTACCTCATCCTTTCCTGCAGGCTGTGCAAGTTGCTCCCTTTGAAGGTCCTTCTTGCAGCTGCTGCTGCAGCACCTGAGCTGATTCTCCAAGCAGTAACTTTCCTCAGGGTCATTCCCTGCTTTTGGGGAGAAAAAAGGGCTTGGAGTCACTGGGAGGTGGGTGGGGGCGTATTTTCTTCCAGCACTTCTCTTCTTCCTCCCTTGGTGGGAGAAGGAAGAAAGCTACTGCTGCAGTAGCTCGTGGTTGGCAGAACTGAACAAAAAACTGGCTCAAGTCCTGCTCTTAAGTTTCACAAACATCTTGGTTTAACTGGATTGTTAGCGTGCTCCTTTCTCCCGCCCTCCCTTCAGTACTGAATGGTGGGGAGTGGGTGTTAGTCTTTGCTGTTACTTTGATTTCCTTCCCACTACCCAGGAGTTCAAAGCGTTACGTAAAATAACGTGGGACCAGCCATCGCCTGACAAAAGGTGTGCAGCGGGGGGGCTGTTTTTAGTCTGTGTAGTGGTGTTTTAGAAACACTGGGGACTCCCTGTGCTGTGAGTCAGTGGAGGAGCCTCTCTAAACTGGGTCCAGTGGATTCAGGACTGTTAATAGGATTTGCCCTTTCTTCCCCCCGCCAGGCTGGTTTGTGAGGGGAGCCCTGAAGGGGAGAGTCCTGGGTGATGTGTGGGTGGGGTTTATGAACTGTGATTTGCACAGCTCCATCTTCTAACTAAATTAAAAAGCAGTTAATGTATGCTATGAAAAACAAGATTTTGTTGTCTCTGTGTTACATAAAGCAGGAAACTGTAACTTTCTTGGGTTTCTGTTGTTGTCACAAAATGGCAACAACAAAACTGCAGAGATCAGGTATCATCTGGACCTCCCCTTCTTGAGCCAGAGGGCTCTGCCACATTTACAGAACTAGAGAGATGCAGTGCAAGTGCTCTATAGTACTATTTACCTGGAGCGATGGAAAGGGAAGAAGGTGTCGAGTTTTGGTGGTTGGTGTCTTTTTTTAAGGGTGGACAGGAGTCAGCAGAACATGGAGCCTCTCTCCATTTTCCTTTTCTGATCCAGGGATAAAAATACAGCCTGTTCTTGGAAACCTCTTATTCTGAAATACGCAGTTCAAGGGGCATTTGTTAAGGCAACAACTGAACGAAAATGCCAGCTCTGTCAGTGCCTCCTGTTAACGGGCTGTGCTCTGTCTCCAGCACGCTTTCCAGTGCAAGGCCCCGAGGGACAGAGCTGCTGCTGAGCGGCACCAAAGCAGAACTGACCTGTGTCAGTGCAGGAAGGGGCTGTAACTGAGAGCGTCTTCCCACGGGCCAGCCTGCTTAGTCAGCGCAGCTCACACCCCCACAGCTGCCTTTCAGGAGCAATGTCCCAGTCCAAGACCAGCTGCTGGCAGCAAGGAGACAAGCTCCATGCCCCTTGCCAGTGCTGGTGAGCGGAGGCACTGGTTGTAGGGATTTACCTCTGGGCCTGGCACACTGAAGTGGCACCTTCCCTTCTCCTCAATTCGAAGTCTGCAACAAGCAAAAGGATGCTGCTCTGGCAGGAGGAACGTACAGATGAGCCACAGTCCACACGGGTCTACAGAGCGTTTTTCTTTTAAGCTTTAATACAAGGTAGCACAATCTGCACCTTCTCATAATGAGGTATTTAAAACATTTTACAAAGAAATGTTATTCAAAGGCATTTAAAAATAAAACGTTTCCCTTTTCTGAATCAAACATTAACACTAAAACCCCTGCTGCCAAGTGCTGCTCCCTGTTAGGCCCACAGCCATAAAGCAGATGGCTAGAAAACTTACTTGAATGGCTTGAATCCCCTGAGGCGGGGATGGATGTTTCCCTGAACTGGCCTTGCCTCGGTGCCGTGCGGGGAGACACTGCAGCAACCACCCCTTCCAAACCCCCTGAAATGCTAATAAAAGTTGTTACAAAACCTCTCTAATAGGGCCAGGCTCTGTAAGCAAGTAGTCTCGCTGCACAAGCTGAGCGTGTGTGAAGGAGGCTGGGCCAGGAGCCGTGCTGTAACTTTGGGATCTTGCAAGAGCAGCTGCTCTGTCCTGCCCTCAGAGCAAGAGCTGCTGCATCATGGCCGGGGTGACCTCCACAGCTGGCGTGGCCACTCTGTCCAGAGCTGGCTCTGTAGAAAGCCAAGGGAATTCGGAAGAGGATCTTAACCTATCCTCAGTGCTCAACCTGCTGTAGGTAACTGAAGGGCAGTTTGTTTTCTTCACAACTATCTACTGCTGGCCTTTGGTCTCCTGATCTGTGTAAGTGAGCAGGAGGCACAGACCACCTGGACACCTACAACTGTGGCTGTGCGTGTAGCACCACAGGGGAATGGAGATGTGGCCTCAGCCCTGGAAGACCTGGATTTGTCAAGAGCTTGAGAAGAGCTTTTCCAAATTGACACGGGGGCTAAACATACCGCTCCTGGCCAAAGCCATCCCTCAAAAACTCTTCCCTGGAAAAAAAACTGATCCAGTAGCAGGATTCTGGACAGTGTCTCCAGCTCTCAGCCACTAAAGCAAAAAGGCAGGAACTATAGTCAGAGTGTAATTATCTAGCTAAGTCTGACGCGAAGCTCCCCTCAGTCCCTGCAGTACTGCTCCCTCCTGGGGTTCCAGGCTGAAACTTAATAACAGTGCACACCATTAAATAGGAAAGGAACAGGAAAAAAGAGGAAGCCAAGAGCACGCTCCGGGCTACGGGATCTGTGGCCAGTTGTGAGCCTGGCCCATCATCCCCCCCAGCTCCTTGGCACGCCATGGAGATAGGTGGGAGGAAGCAGCAGGGTCCACCACACCAGTCCCCAGCTGGTCATGCACTGAATGGTGTCCCTCAAACAGATCATGATGAATAGCCCGTTGCTCTGTCCCTCTGCATCACCTTCATCTGGCTTTCATCAAAAAGAAAACAAAATAGAAATGAACGCACGCAACCCCCGCACTCACAGAGGGAAGCTGGAGGCTTTGCTCAGCCTGTATCGCTCCCGCCCGAGCTGCTCAGGCACCAGGAGTACCCGCCTGCCCCATGAGCGGGCCACTGCCGTCCTGCGTGTCCTCCACAGGCGTCTGGTTGGTGTGCACCACGATTGTGTTCTCATCTACAAGCTCGCAGGCAGGATTGGTGAACGCTGAGAGTGGCAGTGTGATGCGCTGCATTTCACGCTCATAAACTTTCTGTTCATGCTTTTCCTTCAGATCTTTTCCCCTAGATTAAAAACAAAAAGCAACCACCATATATGTGCGTGGGGTGAGTGCCGCTGCTTGGAGGCAGTCTCAGTAAAGGTGATATAGTAGAAAGGAAGGGACTCTGTTCTTTAAGAAACAGATGTTTCAGCTACGTACAGAGGGCCAGAAACATTCCCTGCTGTAAGCAGAGGACCCCATGTGAGCATCTTTAAAAAAGAAGCAGCCAAGCTAAGTCTGTCCCTCCCTCATAAACTGGCTTATTCACTGACATCGCTACAGCTAAACGATGGCTGCAAAGCCAGGCTTCTCCTTCAAACCACAGAGCTGACAAATGTTTCCTTACACCTTATAGTCCCGCGGCACTGCCTGGTGCAGGCCCAGGGAAGCAGTGAGGCAGCGCAGAGCCCACTGCTGTGCAAAAGAGCTTCCGTAACGTGCTTCATCTGATTGATAGAAATAAATACTGGAGGTGGTGACAGATTCTGTCTTTTGTTGCAGCAAACCAACCTGTGTAGCAAATTAAGCTGCTCCTGAAAGTACTAAAGCTTACTTCAGAGCTGGCCCTGCCTTCTGCTGCTGCAGCTAACAGCTTAATACCACAACCAGCTCCTCAAACCTACCTCACTCTTCAGCCTGTTGCTAAGGGAGGCGACACCTCTGTAATTTGTACCGAGGAAGAACTGCCTTGCTTTAAAAATGGATGGCATTAATAGCACGTTGTCTCCAGAAAAGCTATGTATACCAAAAGCTACTAAACCCATTAAAGGTTTCTCACCACACCTACCCAAACCTGCCAGCTTGCACATGCAATTTTGAGAGCAAGGCAAGAAGAGAGAGGCAGTAAACCTGCGCTGCAGCCCTGCTGTGAGCCCTCAGGGACTGAAGAAGCAAAGCTGCATTTGGACAAAGCTCAGCGTTGGTCTATTGCTTCTTCCCGCCGAAGACGGGAGCGAGGTGGGACAGGCACCACTCGCTCCTCCTGGGGCTTGCGATCCCAACCAGGCGAGCTGCTGGGGTTTCCTGTCAGTACATAAAGCATTTTGGCTGCTTTTCAAAGCTGCCTACAAGCGTGCAACAGTGGCTGCCATTCCTGCCAGCACACGAGACAGCATTCTCTGAAGTGACACCTCAAATCAGATTCCTCGACAAGCAGCGCTCTGTGTTTTGTCCCTTATGTAACACTCCTCCCTCTGTTTTTTTTCTGTTGGCATTTATTATAAACACTTACATAAGGACGTGTCCCAGCTTGGGAAAGGGCTCCTTCTGCTTGGTTGTGTCAGACTGCTGTCAAACAGCCAAAATACAGAACAAACCCTCCCAGAGGAGGGAGCCTGGGCCTTCACTTGCTGCAGCAACATTCACTGCTATTTGTTAATCCTGCCCTGTCTCTTAGGACTAAGCTGCTTGCTATTACCGCTAACCTCAAATGCTGCTGAGCTACAGAAACATTTCTGCCCAACACAGTGAAGTGGCTGAACAAATCATAACTTAAGTGTGAATCAAAACTGACCTTAAAGTATACAGGAGCTTTGGTAAAATGAACTTTGTCTGACAAATAAAAGTGCTGCTTGATATTCAGCTTCATAGGATACAATGCACGAGTGGCAAAGAATTTGCCAATTCTTTTTCTTCTAAAGCTCGCTAGACTAGAGACACCAGGGGAAGAGGTGGGCAGCTAGGAGGATTGTTCTCTTTCTGATCACAAAGGAAACTGAGGGCATCTGCTCTCTGCTCTCTCCAGCTCTTACGTAAAATTCTGCTCCCCTGGATGCATCTGAGAAAGCCACATCCAGGCACGTGCGCACACACACACACACACAAACAAAAAATAAAGAGGGCGGTTTGAAACTTTAAATGGGACAGAATACCAGATTGATGGGTGAAATGGAGAAGAATGGCATTAACTCTTAAATAGCTCTTTCCTCAGTGCGACAAGCGAACCTCTCGCGCAATGTGCCATCTCAAAACATGTGCTTCTATCTGCCGTTTCATTAGGATCTGGTTGGGTCCGCAGGTGCTCAGACATTCCTGCTCTATGCATTGCTTCGTGCCTACACCAGCTTTTGGACAAAGGAGAATAGCCACTGACCTCTTATAGATGTATCCCAGGACAATGCCAGCTCCGATGGCAATGATTATCACCATCATGATCAGCCCCAGCACATACCCTGTGAAGAGAGAAAGGAAAGAGGCAAAATTGGAGGCAGTAAATCCAGCTATAGCCTTGCTTTCAGAGCCTCAGAACAAATCCACCCTGCCAGCATTGCAGGAATGGATCCATCACGTGATCCTGGGTTTGTACCTAGTGTCCCCAAGTCCTTCTTTTCTTTGGAGTTCATCTGCACTTTCTGACTGATCCCAATGACGGGCTGCACAGCGGCTGCCTCGCTCCGGGAGGGCAAGGTATCGGCCGGTTCAAACACCTGGTTGACCTCCTGAGAAGTACCAACTTCTGCTGTGGGGACTGGGGCTGTGGCAGCTGTAGCATCTGTTGAGAGGAAAAAAGAGACATACAAAATACAAAGCATTGATGAGTACTTCAAAACAACGCGTGCCTTGTGAGTGGGACAGATCTAGACTGGTATCACTGAACCGCCTTCAAAGTACGCTGACAAACACTTGTTCCCTCTTAAGTTGTTGCCAGAAATCCTACCAAGGCAGACAAGAAATGTACTCCTCCCCCCCCCTTTCCTTTGACATGAACCTATTTTAAGAGCGCACGGCACCACCACAGAGGAGTCGCAAGTCAGACGGTAGAAAGAAACCCAGGTTCAGGGCATGAGTCCAGGGGATGCACAATGACTTCATTTAGCATATAGATCGATACACAGGCTGCAGCTTCAATCGTGCTGAACAGACATGAACAAGATGATGAGAATCTCCATCCCAAATCTCCCAGGAGCCTATTTATCTCTCTTCTGCCTCAATCTTCCTGACACAGGAAGGTTTGACAGAAGGAGACTCCAGCTGTTGTGAAAACAACCTGGGGACATTCTTCTTACCCAGCCCCTTTTTGCAGCCATGTAGCAAACTCCTTTAGCACGACGGACAGGCTAAGTCAGAGCAACACTTCAGGCAGCACAGCCACTGACTTGTGTAAGGACAGCAGGTTCCTCCTCAGCCAGAGCCCAAACAAAGGTGCCTACGGATGGACGCGCATACCACAGACTCCTTCCCAGCCCTGTGGATTTTTTATCAACAGCACTGAAAGATTTTCAAGGTAGCTCCTTCTTTCCTGACACAGTTAAAATGGAAGCTGTAGCACAGCATGCTATGACAGTGGAGAGCAGGTATCTATTACCTGTCCTAAACATAAACCCCCTACTTTTTGGAAATGCTATGCACAGTATGCATCCACACCTGAAAGCTCTCCAGCTGGATCTCACCCCACAGCATGGCAAAAACTCTATGTGGGTTTTCTGTCTGCAGCCATTTTGAGTCCTCAGTGGAATGTGAAATGGAAGTACAGAAGGGTAGTTAGAGACAGGAAAGCAAGGTCTCCTGCACCGCACAGTGACTTCACGCAGGGTCAGCCGGAGAAGCTGAACTGCGGGGAGCTGCGGGACACGACCACAATAAAAAGGTGCCCGCTCCGAGACACAAAAATAGCCAAACCCCTTAACATGCAAGCAGCACGTTGGCTGAAAGGCCAGGTAACTCTCCTGATCCCAAAGCTGCAGGACTGCTTTGAGTAAGGGTCTTGGCAGCAGAGCATTTGTTTTGCGTCATCTTTAGGGAAAAGCAGGCAAAAAACAAGCACAGTGAAGAAAAGGGGAGGGTGCATGTGTGGGGGAAAGTGTTTCCATGCAAGGATAGCAATCCCGAGGGACAGTGGACTGCGTAAATCTTGAGGGGCTCAGAAATAAGTAAGCAGTTAAAAAAACCCAAGTCGTTACTTTGGCTTCAGCCAATACTGACATCTCTTCTCCCTGAAACAGGCTTCAGCTACAGTTCTTCTCCTGGCAAAGCGTTTCCCACCCTGACTATGCAGGAGGAATCCAGTGTTTGGGGTTTTCCCTTTCTTACTGTCCTCCCTTCAGTTCTCATTTTCTCCAAGTTCTTTCCCCCCACCTGTACCCAAATTCACCCTGGCACGCGTTTAGCAGCAGGACACTTGTTTATGCCCCACAGTAACAGTCTACCAACATCTCTGCAGTTCCTCGATGCCCAGACCTCACCCTTTTTCAGCACAGCTGAAGAGCCCCGCGGTGATTGGCGAAACGGGGGAGCCCAAGGCTTTGCACAGGCCTTTCCCCGGTATTAACGGAAAAGCTCTAGGGGCGGAGCAAGGCACAGCTGGGAGGCAGATGTGCACACACGGGCAGGGCTGGAGGGGAGCCCCGGGTACGCTCCGTTCCTGCGGGAGGGCAGTAGGTGCTGCCATAGCCCGGCCTTGTTTGGGGGCCGGGGGGACCCCACCCTGGTGGCCAAGCCAGCTCCCAGCGGCGGGAGGCAGGCCGGGAGGGCAATGCCCCGGGGCGGCCGGCAGGAGAAGGGGGCCCGGCGGGGGCAGCTCCTACCTGAGCACGGGGCGATGTCGCAGGGTCTCCGCTCGGGGACCCCGGCGGCGCCTCGGATGTAGCACCAGGGCGCGGCGTCGCCGTCCGGGTTCCTGCAGCTGCTGGGGGCCTCGGCGACTGC